TCTTACTCATTTAAATTTTTTGATTTGTATGGGTCTTTTTTGTCTATTTGTTTTGTAGCCCTATGTGCGTGCCTGGTTCCCACATGAGGGAGGGTGTAAAAAGAGTTTGTATCCCACATCGAATAAGTAAGACCACCCAAAGTTAGTTTATATGGGACCTCTCCACTCATTGTCAATTGATTTTGAATTAGATTATCTAATATAAAGGGAGAAAAATACTACTTGCACGCAATGAAGATTCTCGGAGTGGAAGTGGAAGTAGAGCACATGAAGGGGATGACTCAAATTGAAGATCAATAGCATAATAAATAATAAACAAGTATGGAAGAGACTCTTCAAAACACATTTAGTACCATGAGGACCAAGCTTATTAAAACAAGTTATAAACATAACATACCCATCCAAAAACACGGTGTGAAATGTGGAATAAAACAGAATTAGGAAACAAAATAAATTTGGAGATATCCCATGTAAAATAAAGGTAAAGGCATGCGATTAACGAGGTAACATGCTGGGAGACAATATCACTCAAAAATGTTTTGGAACATGCATACAGAGTAAAATAGCTTGATACATCCAATAAATGGCGATTTTTGTGTTCGGCAACACCATTTTATTGTGGTATTTGAACACAAGATTTGATATATATGCCTTTATCACGAAAGTAAGAAGTAAAAAAATTATATTGATACATTTTGGCATTAGCAAAACACAAAATACGAAGGCGACAATCAAATTATGTCTTAATCTATACATGAGATGTCTTCAATACATAAAATAACTTAGGAGGGGCTATCATCTAAAACCATTATGTCACACAGTGGTCAATCCATAATTGTCACAAAATAACAAATATCCATTAATTGAAATGTGCTTTATCAGACCCTAGACATAGCAATGAAAAAGCTCAAAAGGATTAGAAGGACGATTATTAATGCTAGACTCAACAAGAAACACGATGATGTTACTAAACTTACATATGCAAAGTTACCTCCTTAGCAAGACCAGTGGTAGGAACGGATAAATGTGGAGAAAATGAAAATAACTACTGGGTGAGTTGACTGCTAGATGCAACCGGACCATTGATAGTGTTAGAGTTTTTATTTCAATTTATTAGTAGTGTACGGTAATATTAGGATGTGTAACTGTAAGGGAAATCAGCTTACCAACCAACCTCGATTACACTCTATATCATTAAACACTTCACCGTTATTAGCATCCAATTTAACCGTGGAGTCCATGGGAATATCAGTTGAATGTGCACTAAGAGTACTACTTTTTGACAATAAATCTAATACATACTTTTATTGGCACAAACTGATACCTTTCTTTGACCGACCAACTTCAATCCCAAGAAAATACGAAATAAGACCTAAGTCTTTGGTATGAAAATGCTTTCCCAAAATGAATCTTAAAGTGGACAATACCATTTGAGTCATCACCATTAATGATAATGTCATCAATATACATAATAAGAATAGTAACACTTGTGGAAGAACGATGAATAAATAATAAATGGTCTGAAGTAGAGTGCTAAAAACCATACTGAAGAACAAGAGTACTGAACTTATTAAACCAATCACGTGGTGATTGCTTCGGACCATATAGTGCTTTCTTCATATGACACACTAATTGTTCTTTACCAGGTAAAATATAACCTGGAGGTTGTATCATATATACCTCCTCCTACAGACCTCCACGTAAAAAGGCATTCTTGATGCACAGTTGATATAGAGGTCAATCACAACTCACGACGACTGAAATAAGAACTTTAACAGAGTTAAGACGAGTAACAAGAGAGAAAGTCTCACAGTAGTTCACACCATATGTTTGAGTGTAGCCTTTGACAATCAGACGGGCCCTTACATGCTCAATTGAGTCATCTAAATGATACTTCACTTTGTAGACCCAACGATAACTGATAAGTTGTTTACTAGAAGGAAGAGAAGTAAGGTCCCATGTATGATTCTCATTAAGGGCTTTTATTTCCTCATCAGGCTTTGATATGTTTTTTTTTTTGCCAAGATGATTCGCTCTGATACTAAGTTGAAATAAAAATAACAATAATATTTGGGTTAGAAAAGAAGGGGGGAAAGAGAAAACAAAAGAGAAATTAAGAATAAACTGTGTGTTGGCTTTGTGTTGCCCTACACCCTTATTTATAGTAGAGAAGTATATAGGCTAACTACAATATTTCCCTACGGAGCAAATTACAACTAATAATTAAAATAAGAACTCTAACACCCTTTTTCTATCCTCTCAATATTGACAAAGCCTCTCCAAAATTACTCTTGCAAACACCTCCTTATTCCACACCTTTAATCTTTGTTTAACAAACTCTAAGTTTATTCTTAAAATTAAAGCCTTCCCACCCTTGAAACTCACCCTTCAACCACCATTCCCAACAAATCTTACCCCTAAAAGCATTAGGCTAAACTTACATGTTTTCAAACTTAAATGGACTTGGGCCTCACCTCCTCTTAAGAGTCCAGGAGAATAAAAGGATTATGGTCTAATAGTACTCTAGACAAAGCCTCGTATCTAACCCCTCGAAAATAATCCTCTCAATCTACAAAAAACAAGAACCTATCCAACTGTTTACACACCAACCCACTCCAGAAATTAGACCATGTAAATACAACATTGGCCAACGGTGAGTCCCTAAGTCACATTTTCCAAATAAAGATGCCAAAATCTTCATACTTTGTGTTACTTAGCCCCCATTCAACCTTTCCACCAGATACCTAATAAAATTAAATTCCCCCCAAGACACTATCGTGGACTACAAACCCCAAACAAACCCACAAGCTCTTCCCATAACAATACTCTAAAGTCTAAACCTAGGTTTGTTAGGTCCATATACCTTGTAAACCACCACACTGAACCATCCTTATGTCTAATTCTAAGTTACAGTTAATTGTTGGGAACAATAATAAAGAAGAAAGAAGAGGATGAATAACTAGACCAACTATTCTTCGGAACTTCTATATATTACTTGGATTTAAGTAAAGTTGTTTATCCATAAAAAGTATGTTTCCGTTCATCCACCCAATAGTGTTAGGTTCCCAATACTACAAAGGCTTTAGGATAGGATGTCTAAAGCTGTTTATCTTCTGAGGATAAACATGAAATATAGCATTCGTTTTGAAACAAGCAGTGGCTTCTCAAGACGTGTTTATGGGGTGTTATTAGCAAGAGCTTTAGCAGGAACTTTGCAAAGTTCATTCTATGGACCTACCAAACATTTTTTACACTTTGGATCCACGTTCTCTGGGAAGTCCATTCAATGTCTCAGGCGATCAACACCTAAATTGTTCACTGTTGCCCATACTTCACTGAAAAAGACTATACCATGCTACTTGGTTGCTTCACCTAAGCCATGTGACTTGTATGTTTTAGTCTTAGTGCTGCAACTATGAAGAAATGTGTGGCATTTGGTCTGGGAATAAGCCATGGTTGCAGCTTCAAAGTAACCTTTTGATGTTTGCTTGGATTCATGTTATGCATTCAATGTGGAGTTCATATGCTATGTAGGTCAGTGCAGCTGCATTGACCACATTTAGTGATTCAGCGTCTTTTTGCTGTCACATTTCTTTGGTGTTCTACTGTCCTTGAGTAACTGAATGAGGTGGAATGTAAGGATAAATATTTCATTTAGAAATGGCCGAAACAATGTTTTCTTGGAAACGGGAATGACTCAGTAATTGAATAACAAAATTTCTATGTTTCGAGTTGTCTCAATGTGTTTTGACCAATTTTTCGGAAATAAATTTTCAATTTGTTTCTCAGTTTCCAAGTGTCTAAACAATGCACCAAAACAAAATTTTTGTCATTTGTATTGGGATGTAAAAATGGTAGGCATGAATGCATTTTAATAAACATAAATTGATAGATGTAGGATCAAGACTGGCAGAAGATCATTTTAACAATTGTGAAATTTAAGCCTTGTCACCAGACAAAGGCTAATTCTTAGCACTTTCTGTTTTGATACCTCAGTTCTAAACATGACACAGTTCCATTCTGACACATGATTTTGGCATTCTAGAAGTGTTATCATACTTGCCTCTTGTTTCTCTCAATGACAAATTATAAAAGTAGATCACAAAAAGTTTTATATTGTCATTTCCCAAGAAGGAAGAGATTCAGAGAAGATGAATGAAGGATCATAGCTAATCAATAACTAACATACCTAGCTTACACTTAATTCTATTTGTGTAATACTACTATAAAAGACTCCCAAACAAAATAAGCAGCATAATTTCAACTGTAAATTTTGATTGTAAATAAAAGAAATGACACTCACATTTACTGAAACGACCTTAAACAAATTCAAACATGATGAACTATTTTGTACAGGTGACATGCCTTTAGATTTATACTTTGTGTGTACCAAGGAAGGATAAAAATATTGTTTCGAAATAGTCAAAACGTCCAAAATATTTCCGTTTCCAAGGAGACCGAAACAAAATAGCGATGAAATTAAATTCTAATATTTCGAGGTATTCCTAATGTTTCGAGATGGATTATAATATTTCAATGCATTTGCACTATTGTTTTAGAATGTTTCAAGATATTTTGATATATTTCAATCAATGTTTTAGAAAAATAATTCTTATTTTTTTTTTATTTTTTTCATTATATTTTTGAAACGGATCGAAACGTTTCTGAAATACGTTGAATATTTTTGTTTTTTAGGTGATTGAAACAATACAGCGAAACGAAATTTTGATCCTTGGTACCAAGTTCCGGTTGCTTGTACCTAGACCACTTTATTTAGGTGATATTTGTCTACACATTCTTTTCCCCGTTTTCCTCCCTTTCTCCTGTCAAGATCTTTATGGGGAAAATGGATGGATCATGTGGACTGATCATAGCTTGGTCAATGCGATTCACTATCTGCTTATTTCTCCCTTTTTAAACACCTTTTTCTAACTTAGAATTGTTTATGTTTGTGCATCCTGATCACCTTGTGTTTTGCTTGAATGGAATAGGTGAGACACATGTTTAAGGAAATTGACTACATACTGGAGGGTCAAAATGCTGATCGCTTTGCTTCTCTCTATGCTTGCAACTTCAGTAAGTCCTTCCCTACTCGATATAGCTGTTGTATAATTTTCTCACTTAGTTCTTTTATTGGTGAATACGGCTTATGGGTTCTTGATAAGTTTTAGTAAGAGTCTGTAAGCATAAAAAAATCTTGCTTATAATGATGCCCCAAAGCTTTCCTTTTTTTGGCAGCTTAATATCTTATGTAGCCTAACAACTCATAAGTATAGTTTGAGACATTTTCAAACTGGGGCTAGGGAATGAGTAGCACAATGATTTTCACTTTAACCTTTCAACTCCATCGGGCGTTTAATCGTTAAATACTACCTCATTAAATCTGGCTTCCCAATTACAACACATGCTCTCCTTGCCTAGCAATAAGTTTCAATGTGGAGTTTATGTGCCACACAAGAACCTAAGTTTCGTTTCGAAACAATCAAAATAGTGAAAATGTTTCCATTTCCATGGAAACTGAAACCGATTTGACTTAAATGATTCGGTGGTTGAATATCGAAATTCAAATGTTTTGAGGTGTTTTGAAATGTTTCGACTTTCAAGGTATTTTGAGATGTTTCGGTGTGTCTCAACCAACATTTCATAAACAATTTTCATTTTTTTTTTCAAATTCATTCTCTTTTTGAAATGTTTCCAAAACATTTTAGTTTGATATGTGACTAACACAATGTGCTGAAACAAAATTTGATCCTTGATTCCATGCCACTATTACGATCAAGCAATAAGTCACCCTGGTGATGTAATTTAATAAAATGGAATAGAAGAAACTGACTTTTTTTGCTGAATTCAAGGATCAAAATGTCGTGTCGACACGTCCGAAACGTCCGAAACGTTTCGGAATTTCAACACTCCGAAACGAAACAGTAGTTGAATCACAAAATTCCAGTGTTTCGGTCGAAACGGTACTGTTTCGGACCGTTTCGGTCGAAACGGCATTGTTTCGAACCGTTTCGACAAAACAGTGATATATTCGGTTCATTATGAATAATTACATTTAATACCTCATTATAATTACATTTAATACCCACTGTAATTACATTTAATACTCACTATAATTATATTTAATATCCCACTATAATTACATTTATTCCCACTGCTCTTCTGTCTTTTATAATTTTTTTGTTATAAGAATAAATAATTACACTTAATACTCTACTATAATTATATTTAATACCCATTATAATTATATTTAATACATACTGTAATTATATTTAATACCTCACTGCTGTGCAAGTTTTTTGCTTTTTTTTTTTTGTTATAAGTATTAACAATTACATTAATACCCTAATGTAATTATATTTAATACCTACTGTAATTACATTTCATACCCACTGCAATTACATTTAATTTTTAAGTATACATAAGTATCATTAATTTAATTTGATACCCTTCATTATTAGTATTATAATAAAATAGTATTATTAATTGGATTATATTACCGTAATAATATGATTTGGAGTAACTATTGTCATCATATTTATGTCACATATGGAGTTTCTCTAAGTAGCTACCCAGAGCCTACACCGATGTATGAGCCTGCTCGACACTCCACAGGGGAATGGATGTAACCATGTAAGTATGTACTCATTAGCATTTCATGTGTATTATAAGACCTTAATATTATGTAAAAATATGTTTATTTCATAAAATTAAGTGTTTGAAACTAATTTAAGTGACTTTCGCCTCAAGTCAAGCCCTTTTTTCCCTCAAATTTAAATTTATTCTTGTATAAATTGATGTTAACCTAATAAATATGTTGAATTAATAAATTATTTAGCATATCTTTATAAATTAATGGATTGCATTTGTGTTTCTATGCGTTTCCATATTTTTTCTGCGTTTCCATTGCGTTTCCGAAATGTTTCCGAAACGTTTCTATTTTTGAGTTGACCGAAACGGTACTTCGAAACGAAATTTTGATCCTTGGCTGAATTAGGTATGAAAAACTGATTTTTTTTGTTGAATTAGGTATGTCTGTGAGTTTTCTTATTTGTGATTCACATGCTATCATTGCATACGAGATAGCACTTTTTCCTATGCTTTTGTATTTTCCAATGTGCTCTGTCTCTGTCTCTTTCTCGTCGTGTGATATCTTGGTGTCAGCTTTTGTCTGCCTTGTTTGTACTAACTTTTCTCCTGCATAAAAAATGGACAAAATTTATTTTTGATCGGCAGATAATGAGAAGACGAGTACAGCTGGTGATACTGTTGAATACCAGAAAGCAAATGGTATTAAAGTTCCGAAAATATATTGGAAGCTTACCCGTAAAGCTGTGCTTACTATGGAATGGATTGACGGGATTAAGCTTACAGATGAAATACGTCTAAAAAAGGCCTCTTTAAACCGAAAGGAATTGATTGACGAGGTATTGAGCTTCTATGGTTTTGCCATTATTAGTTCTATATTCTCTTTCTTATTTTCATTTTTTTGTTATTATGTTTATTTTCTGCTTATTTCAAGAAATTACATCTTACATCAGGTTTTTTCTTAGCTTATGCTATATATTTTGAGTGTTTTTTTTCTATGGTTTCTTAGGGGTTATATTGCTCTTTGAGGCAATTGCTTGAGGTGGGCTTTTTCCATGCTGACCCCCATCCAGGAAACCTTGTTGCAACTGAGGATGGATCTCTTGCTTATTTTGACTTTGGAATGATGGGAGATATTCCACGCCACTATCGCGTCGGACTTATTCAAGTGGTAAGAATAATATATAATGTTTTGCTGAGAAAGCACTCTAAAGGATGTTCATGCGTGGTGCTTGTTTACTGTTAATGTAACTTGGTTAGCACTCTTTTATTCGTTTTCATCCGGTAAAGTTTCTATCTCCATGGTCCTAATCGCAATGCTTCCCAGCTTTCATTAAATGGCCGTTATCTGTCTTTTAACTAACTAGGGGCGAGGCACGTGCGATGTGAGCACACATGTAAGATTTGAGAGGAAAAGAGAGTGTGGGAGAATAGATAGTTAATAGTTAGTGCACATGCAATAGGTGAGTTTTTTTTGGCTGTTTACAGGCATGTGAGGACTTCTGTGACCGTCTTTTTTTATGCCTTATTTAGAGGTTTGTACTCAATGCATTACTGCACGTGGTTGTTTAGTTGATTACTAGCTCCACCCGGTATTCTTGGAGCTGCTTTTAACTCCACTCGGTGAGTTGAGTTCTTTTTAGTGGAGGGGGATTCATGCAACATCTGTTGGCTGGTTGGACTAGTATCGTAGGCTTTGGGGAGCAGAAACCAAAAGCTATGGGTCCCATGACAAGCCAGGAGTCTTTTTGGCCTAGAGGAAATTGTTCTGTTGTTTTTTGTAGTCTTTATTTATTATAGCTTAGTTATGTTGCTGATCAGTTCCTAATCCCGTTTATTTTAATTTTTCCTCATTAAGTATGTGTGTAATCCCGTTGATTCCATGAAGTTGATGATGAAAATTCTGATCGTTTTTTGTGATAACCTTTGTGAGGAGCTGAGGATGGTTTGTTATTCTTCCTTTTCTCTTTTCCTCCGCCTCCTTTGTCTTATCTTATAAAATCCTATTTGTTTAGGTTAAATAAACTTTAGATCGAATCTGAATTGATCATCTATGCTATCATAAGATACACAATTTGAAGCCTAGATCTTGTCTCTTCCAAACCTAAAACCCTAGCAACCAAAAACCACTTAAACAACAAAGTTACGGTTCCCGGATCACTATTCACAGCAGTAGAGCAGTCCCTAAAACAGCCTTTAAATCCTTTCTCCTATTTAGCAAAGCCCTAGGGACCAGGTTCCGTCCCTTCCCATCCTTTTCCTATTTTTTGGCCTTCAAACAAACTCTTACACAAGGATTATAATTTCGCTTCGGTGCATTGTTTCAGTCACCTAGGAAATGGAAACGTTTCTACCCGTTTTGGAAATAGAATGAAAAAAAAAAAAATTTAAAAATTATTTTTTTAAAACATTGGTCGAATTATATCAAATTATCTTAAAATATCTTGAAACATTCTGAAATAATTGTGTAAATGCATTGAAATATTACAAAACACCTCAAAATATTATGAAATACCTCAAAGTATTTGAATTTCGATTACATTACTGATTTGTTTTGGTTTTCTTGAAAACGGAAACGTTTCAACCGGTTTGAAACGAAATTTTGACCTTGCTCTCACAAACCCTAGTAGGTTGCTTTTTAGATTTTCAATACTCCTATTGTTACCGTTGAATATCTTTTTTTAATGACTTCAACCGTAGGAAAGTGTTTTCCCTCGCTTGTCCTACATCAGAGAGGCTTGACCATATTTAAATTTTTATTAGCTGAGACTTCAAACATGAAAGTTCAAGAGCCTGGAACTTGGCAAAGATCCTCTTCCCCTAACAACAGGTTCATTGTATTTTCAAAACAAGGAAAGGATGATCAATGTAGTGTCACCTGAAATTCTTATTCAAAACAGTTGATCCTTGTGAATCTATACACTATATAAAGGAGCCAACGCATCTTTTGTTACTCCACTATTGATGCTTGGGGACCCACATTTCTTATCTCAACACATGTGGCACATATGGCCTTCCTTTTGATACAGACAACCAACGATATTTTGACATCTCATATCACAACTAAGTATAGAACACAAACCAAGCAACAGTTTGGCTATTGGCTTAACCATGGTTAGTCTTATTTGTTTCTGACAGTAACTAACTAATAATTTGTGGTTATTTTCGAAAGCAGAACATTTGGGAGTAACATTTATCTTCTCAGACTGATGAATGTTTCGCATTGAGATGAAACATGATCTAGGTATCAATTGTTCTGTCTTTGTCTCTGTCTCCGTCTCTCTCTCTCTTCATTTTTAAATTTATATTTGATAATTTTATTGTCGTTCAAATTAGCCTTTATAAACAAAATTATCAGATATAAATTTAAAAATATATATTAGATATAAATTATCAAATAATATATTCTACTATCCTATTACATTTTTTGGGTAGTTTAAATAGATTCTTTATGATTTAAGGGTTTGAGGACCTGCACTAATTAAAAAGTGTACACATTAGTTCTTTTTTTTTTTTTTATGATAGTCAAACTTGGGACCTCAAGTCTTCGAAATGAAGTTAGGGACTCCTAATTATCTTAATGATTTGTGAATTGTACCAACTTCAAGAACTTATATTGTTTGATAGTATTAAGTGCCACGATGTGATAGTGTATTATTGATAACAACCAAGTTAATCGGTGGGATTTCATAAAATATATGTATTGATCTTTTAGTGAGAGTTTTATGCTTTTTTATGTCATGTAGAGTAAAAATTGACCTTTGTTGATAAATAGAACAATCAAATGCTAAAATAAGTTCCCCAACTGACCATAGAAAATAGCAATTATAGGTGCTTTGATCACTTTGAACTTCAAAAAATGTGCCCATTGCTTTTTGGGCTTGGCTTGGCCATTTAGCAGTTTGAGTATTGCTACTTGTTTGTAGCATAGTTGATCTATACATATAAACTCTTTGTGTTATGTGCCGCTAGGGGTGTCAAAATATGACACGAAGCGTTAACACAATACGAAGTTAGAGGGTTTGAGTCTTCTTTAAACCATTTGTTTAATAAACGTGTGGATCCGACTAGACATGATTAATAAATGAATTGAGTATGGGTGAAGCCAATCAAAAAAAAAAAATACACGACACGACTAGTTTATATACCGGTCATCACACAATTGATACACGACATGAACCCGATATGAGACGACTCGTTAGACACGAATTAATAAACGAATCAGGTATGTATGAAGTTTTTTTGACATGAACCCGTTAATACCTAACACGAACCCACCTTATCCAACACAATTGACAGGCTTAGTGTTGCCCCATACATAATAAGTTTATATTAAACAACTATTTACTCTAAAAGCTTAAGTTGTTAGAGAGAGCATAACTTAAATATTTATACTATAACATGTCCCCTCACGTACATGTTAGATTTTGAGCCTAGCATGTAAAAATCTTTTAATTATCAGGGTAGTGACGAGATTCAAACATAGGAACTCCGACTAATACTATGTTAAGGAATCATCTATTTTAAAATTTTAAATTATTTGAGAGGGTGTAACTTAAGTATTTATATTTCGACCGCATAAATGTGGGAAAGTAAAATAATAATGATGTAGGATTCTCGCAGATTGTTTAGCAGCTCCACCTTATTGGAATTTTGGCAAATTTCCTTTGGTTCGGATACGAAGTTTGAGATTAATAAAATGGACATGTCTAAACATTGGGAAAATTGTGTGGAGAGTCATATGGGGCTCTAGATTGTGGGCAAAATTAGATAAAATTACAAGAATCTATTGCAAATGCCAACGTCTAGAGGTTGGGTGCATAAATTGATAGGCTTATCGTAGAGAGAGAAAGAGAATAGTTTTTACCAAAGCTCTTATTAGAGAACCTTGGATGATAGCAAACTATTATCTCATTGTTCGAAAGTGGCACATTGATTTTTGGCCTTCCTTGGCAACGGTCACTCAAACTGTGGTTTGGATCCTTTTACTTGAGTTCCCTATTGATTACTTCTCAAATAGGGAACTCTTGACAAACCTATTCAAATTGATATAGTCACCCCACATTGAAGGACCAACACTGGGTGATGGCCTTCTTTATTGGTTGGAACTAGCTCTTAATTGTATACATCATGCACATTAGCATGGTTACTTCGATTTATTGTTTGATGCATAAAAGAATATTATATTTCATTTTCTTGTTTAATGCATACATGGTTAATCGACATTCTCGTACCAAGTGTTCCACCTATATTTCAAATTAGTCTCAATACTAGTGTGTGTATTTTGGTGTATTAGTATGTGTATGTGTTTTAGTGTACTAATGTGTGTTTTGGTGTACTAGAGTGTGTATTTGATTTTATTATTTTTGTTATTTAATAGAAGGACAAATACTCAACTCAATAGTTACATTGACCAAAAAAAAAATTCAATGGGTACCCATTTATAATCTATCTTAACCCGCTTAATCAAAATGAGTCTTATTACTCAACTCATTTATTTATGGATGGATTGGGTGGATTAATGAGTAATGGGTTAAGATTGTCACCTCTAATTGTGTGGTTGAGTTTTTGTGTATGTTGAGCTTCATAGTTGACTCTTTCTTATTTTTCTTATTTTAGTAAATTTTCATTTATGCATAGTTATTGCTTTTCTGGGTTTTTTTTTTTAAGGAGGGTTAGGGAACCCTTGTTTCCTGATTCAACTCATTCTTGTCCAGTCAAGCCAATTTCCTCCAATGCTTACGGATGCAAGCCTTCTTGGATAGTCCATCATTTGAGCCTTAAATTTTTCCTCATAGATGTTTGAGTTTTATTCCTTGAAATGGTTATACTCTTCTATGATGTGGATAGAGGTGTCAGTCACTTCCTTTTTTTCGTTTTTTCTTTATCTATGATGACTACCGATGCAAATTTTTTTGTGTATTCTTTTGGGAGGAGGGAAGAGAAAGAAGGAAGGAGAAGAAGAAAGGGGGGGGGGGGGGGTGTTCTCATTGAGTGTCATTTTATGCTTAGTTATTTAAGCAATTTTAACCTCTACAAAACAATTAATCAGTTATTTTGCTTAGTATTTCTTTTCATCGTATGCTAGCTCAAGTTGGACTCTGTTAACCTTGCAGCATGTTAACTAGTCAATGTCAGGCTTTGTCATTGGAGGATTTTTTCTTCTTCATTTTCTTCTCTCATGTACTGTAGCTAACAAATGTGGTGGCATTCTTTTTATGTTGATAAGTTTTTTTCTTTCAGCTTGTGCACTTTGTTAATCGTGACTCTCTGGGTTTGGCAAATGACTTCCTTTCTCTGGGATTTATTCCTGAAGGGGTTGACTTACAATCTGTTTCAGATGCCTTGCAATCATCTTTTGGTGATGGGACTAGACAATCCCAAGATTTCCAGGTATTTATTTACAGTATCTTCTCTTCAGCTTTCTTCTAGGATTGGGTTGTTGGTTGTGCTCCTTTATCTGTTGTTTGTTTGTTGTTGTTTTTTGTGGTTGCCGTTGCTGCTATTGTTCTCTCCCCTTTTTTGGCATGCATCATTAAGTCACTATGATAAGAGAGGATTACGTGAACTTATAACATTTCTCTCGTGTTTTCCCCTACCTTTCACTTTCCAAAACCTTCAACTCAAAACCAATCAACAATGACTGGAGAGGCTCAAAAGGCTCATCTACTAGTTTGGGATGCTCTATTATACTGATGTGGGACAAGCGATAAGCTTCCTCGTGCGTGCAACCCCATTGACGTGGAAAGTTAGACAGAAAAGGAAGACTTAATTAGAAACATAACAATGTGCATTTGTGGCACAAACATGGGGGTATCAGTATTTAATGAAGAAATTGTAACAAAGCGTCTTGCGCAATGCCTACGAAAGCCTAGCTCTGATTATTTTGAGACAATGTTAATATATCAAACTCAAACCTATTGGCAATGAGTAGAGAGGCTCACAAGGCTGATATACTAGTTTGGCTGGCCCTATTATAGAGATTCGGGAAAGCTCTAACAAATACAAGAATTATAAATCCCTCTGTTAGCTTTTTTTTTTCTTTCTGTTAAACCTTATCTTTGATAGCTTTGAGGGGCATATGATTATGTTGCTGCTTTATGCTTTGGTAAATAGGTAGAAATACATGTAATTTGAGAAGTTCCAGCCATATATCTGTTCCTCTTTCTAATTTTGGATGACCTACTTAACCACAGCATCAACTCCCTTCACCCTGGCGTCTAAAAGAGGGGGTATTGTGAGTCCGATTATTCACTGGGTGCAATTCCTTGTTTCTTTTGTTGTCCCAGCACTTGAAATACAACTGGTATTCATGACTCTTTTAGACAAGAGTTTTTTTCCATCCTTCGTTGCATCTGACACGAGATTATACCGAGCTTCCCTGTACATCATTAAGATCATTTTGGCACAACATGATAAAGAAAGAGTTTCCTACACGTTATTAAGATCTTATTGGCATTATGCTCTCCATTAAAAAAAGAGAGAACCCCACTGAAGATGAGAGTGAGGCCATGTCTGTTAGAAGCCCGTCTTACGGTTTCCTTAGAAGCTGCCAGGAGGACTTTTGAGATTTAGAGGAAACTTCTAACGAGTTGATTTTAGATGTGGCTCTAATAGTGTAATTAATGAAAGTGAAATTAGAAGGATGCATCTGCAATGGTGATTGTAGTTTGAATAAAGCTAATATGATTATGTCAGAATTTGTTAATATTGGACTTCTGCTGAACCACTACGCTCTTAGCTTGAGGTAAAAAGTGAGGCTAGGTGCTTAAGTCTGCATTGGGATTGGGTTTTTGTGGTGTTTATCTCACACACGTGCACTCAATTCAACTCAACAAAGCCTTAATCCCAACTATTTGGGGTTAACTACATGAATCCTGTTTCTCCATTGCAGTCTATCAAGGGCCATATGTTCTGTTAGACCATAAGCTATCATATCTTTTTTCACTATTTGTTCACAGTTATTTTAGGCTCACCTTTGCTTCTCACATTACCAATGAAATGTATCAAATCCGTCTTCCTTATTGGTGCATTATTGGTCTTCTATAAACATGTTCAAACCACCTAAGTTGATTCTCTATTAATTTATCTTCTAATGGTGCTATTTTTACATATGTACTCATTTCTAGTTCTTTCATTTCTCGTTTTACCACACATCCATCTTTACCATTCTCATTTATGCAACACTTAGTTTTTGAGCGTGTTGTTTCTTAATTGCCTAACTTTCGGTCCCTTAAAACATTGGTTTAGTTTTTGAGCGTGTTGTTTCTTAATTACCTAACTTTCGGTCCCTTAAAACATTGGTTTAATGGTTGTGTTATAAAACTTACCTTTCAACCTAAGTGGCATACATCATTCACATAATGCTCTAGATGCATTCCTCCATTTAGTCCATCTTTCTTTAATTCTATGATTAACATCATCTCATCTCCAATCTTTCCCTCCCTATGGATAATTGACCCAAAATACCTAAAGTGTTTGTTCTCGAGAATCTCTTGATCTTCGATCTTTACTACCTCTCTATTTGTGTTTTTATTATTATTGAAACTACATTTTATATATTTGGTTTTATTTCTACTTATCCTAAATCCTTTTGATTCTAAAGTTTCTCTCCAAACTTCTAGTTGGTTGTGAGTTGAAATTATAGAAACGGTATTAAGGTATGTCAAAGAAGGAAAAAAGAAGAAAAGAGAGAGTGAATAATCTATGTGTAGGCTCTGTTGCCATACATTCCCTTATTTATAATAAACTAATATGATGAGTAATTACATTATTACCCTATACTACTAATAATATAAAATAAGTACTCTTAACACTTCCCCTCAAGTTGGAGTATACAGATCAAAGATGTCCGGCTTGAAATAAAGATTAGTGAAGACAAATTGAGCCTATGGTTTGTTAATGATGTCACTCAACTATTCACTAGACTTGATGTTTGATGTGATGATCTCTTTTCGCATCAAGAGATCTCAAATAAAATATCAATTCATTTTGACGTGTTTAGTCTTCTTATAATACACTGGATTACTGGCAATGAAAATAGGTGCCTGGTTGTCATAATGCATCTTCATAGGAGAAGACACACTGATACCCATATCGGAAAGTAGAGAACAAATTCACAGCATCTCACACGCAGTGTAAGTCATGTAATAACCCGAAGTAGACGTTTATCAATACGATTACCTACTCAGTTAGCATCAAAAATATCAGTAATTGTCATGGATGATGAAGAACGATATAATACTTTATCTAGTGCTCCTTTCAGATACCAAAAAATACGATTGATGGCTCCTAATGGAGCTTACGAGGAGTGTGCATGAATTGACTAGCTACACCAAAAACATAGATAATATCAAGACGTGTATATGTGAAATAAATCAGCTTACTAACCAACCATTGATACTGCCCTACATCATCAAATACTTTATCACTGTCAACATCTAACTTAACTATAGAGTCCATGGGAGTATCAGC